TAGAACACTGCAAAGAGGGAAGGGTTTGGCAGGGGCCCAAGCCACCCTAGCAGGGACTGAAGTAACGGAGAACGTGAAGGTACCACGACAAAATTCAGATCTCCGTGACGTCTTCAGCGAAAGGAAGCTGACCAACTACCCCGCATAGACCCTTTGACTGTCAAATCAATTTACTCCCTGGGGCACAGCTCCCTGTAGGCAAGCTGTACGCCATGTCAGACAGAGAGATGCAGGAGCTAAGAGAGTTCATTGACAAGAACCTGAAGAGAGGGTTCATCAGAGAGTCCAGGGCGGTGGGGGCAGCCCAGTGTTTTTGTGGATAAAAAAACACGAACAAGCCGAGGCTGGTGTGTGACTTCAGGGCCTTAAATGCAGTGTCAGAACCAGTGGCCTTCCCTATGCCCAGGATTGACGACATTTTGACAAGGGTGCGGAAGGGAAAGATTTTCACAAAGCTGGACCTAAGGGGGGCGTACAACCTGATACGAATAAGGAAGGGTGATGAATGGAAAACCACCATGTTCACCCCTTTAGGGGCATTTGAATATTTGGTTATGCCCTTCGGCCTCCAAGCAGGCTCCGCATGCTTTCAATCGTTTATGAACCACGTCCTGGGGCCTTTGCTTTACAAGAATTGTGTGGCCTTCTTAGACGACGTGTTGGTGTATTCTGAGAATGAGGAGCAGCATGTGAGAGACGTCAGAGAAGTGTTGAGCAGGCTGCAAGCCAGCCAGCTGTGGGTGAAACTGGAGAAGTGTCAGTTTCATACCAAGGAGGTGGAATTCCTGGGGTATCGCCTGTCAGACAAGGGATTGGCCATGGATCCCGGCAAGGTCCAGGCGGTGCTGGAATGGAAAACACCCAAAACAAGGAAGGATGTGCAGAGGTTCCTAGGATTTGGGAACTTCTATCGTAAGTTCATCCGAAACTTTGCCCACCTGACGGCGCCCATTACGGACTGTCTCAGCAGTAAGAAGAAGTTCGTTTGGACTGAGGAGGCGGAGCGAGCATTTGAGGAACTAAAAGGGCCTTCGCCTCGGAACAACAACTCCTGCATGTGGATTTACAAAAACCGATGAGAGTGGAAACTGACGCATCAGACAGAGCGGTTGGGGCGGTGCTTCTGCAGCCAGGGAAGGAGGAGTCAGAGTGGAGACCGTGTGCCTTTTTTCGCGAAAGCTGAACAAATCCGAGAGGAACTACACGGTGTATGACCGAGAACTACTAGCCATTCATGAGGCGTTCCGGAGATGGAGGCACCTGCTAATTGGCGCACAACATAAGGTGCAAGTGTGCACTGACCACAAGAACCTAGAGTATTGGAGGACGGCACGAGTGCTCATCCAACGGCAAGTGAGATGGGCCCAGGAGTTCTCCAAATTTAACTTTGAGATTTGTTACGTGCCAGGCCCAGAGAACATTAGGGCGGACGCTCTCTCACGCAAACCTGAATATTTGGAGGGGAGGAGCACCCGAAGAGAGACATGTCATTCCAGAGGACCGCTGGGTGTGTGGGGCGGCATTGGTGGGACAAAGAGAACTGGTAGAGGAAACAGAGAATGATGAATACGCCCAGAATAAGCTCAGAGGTCTTAGGGGTGAGGGAGAGGAACCAGGGGTTTCGAGGAAAGAAATGGAGCTTTGTATTACAAAGGGGCACTGTATATCCCTGAAGGAGACTTAAGGGGAGGGTACTCAAGCAGTTGCACGACAGCCCTACGGCGGGGCATTTTGGACAACACAAAACCATGTGGTTGGTCACCAGGGAATTTTGGTGGCCCAAGGTGAGGGAAGATGTACGTGAGTATGTAAGAGGGTGCGAGCAATGCCAGCGAGCCAAGGGGAAAGGCGGGCGCCGGCGGGGCTATTAGAACCCTTACCAACCCCAGAACGACCTTGGGAGGCAGTGTCGATAGATTTTATGACTGATCTGCCGAAGTCCAAAGGGAAAACAGCCATCATGGTGGTGGTGGACCTACTAACAAAGATGTGCCACTTTGTAGCTTGCTCGCATGCAGTCACGGCGGAAGAGACAGCGAAGTTATTTGTAGAACACATTTTTAGGTTGCACGGGGTGCCATTGAGGGTGGTCTCAGACCGAGGAAAACAATTTACTTCCAGGTTCTGGAGGAAGCTCATGAGCTTACTGCAGGTGGAGGTCAATTTTTCGACTGCCCGGCACCCTGAAACCAACGGGCAGGCGGAAAGAGCAAACGGTGTCCTCCAGCAATACCTGAGGTGTTATGTCAATGACAGAGAGAATGACTGGGTAGAAAAGTTGGCGCTGGCGGAATTTGCCTACAACAATGCCGAGAATGTGTCCACAGGGATGAGCCCCTTCTTGGCTAATTATGGGTGTCATCCCAGGGCTTTCCCAGGGGGAGATGGGGGAGAGATGGAGCGTCCCGGCAGCCGAGCATTTTGTAGAAGAAATGGAAGCAATCCATTGTCAGCTCCAACTCAACTTAGAAAGGGCGAAGGAAGAATACAAGAGGCAAGCAGACAAGAACCGAAGGGAAGGTGAAACCATAAGGGTGGGAGATAGGGTGTGGCTGTCAACCCAAGGGTTGCCGTTCAAAGGAGGTTGTAAGAAATTAAGACCCAGGAGGTTGGGTCCCTTTGAGGTCATTCAACAGGTCAACCCAGTGGCTTTCAGGCTCCGGTTACCCAACCACATGAAACTGCACCCAGTATTTCACAGGTCGTTACTGTCACCGTACGAAGGGGACGAGAAGGGATGGCCACTCGGGGACCGGTCATAGAAGAAAGAGAATGCAGCAGCCATGTGGCAGAAATCCTCGACGCCAGGTGGAAGGGGAATCAGGTGGAGTATTTGGTAGCGTGGGAAGGAGAACCGGAGTCAGAAAACACTTGGGTAATGGCCGAAGATATCAATGACGAGGTATTGATAGAAACGTTCCATCAAAGGTTCCCAAGGAAACCTCAGCCTGTGGAGAGGTTCCGGAGGGAATACTTTGGGACCACTGATGAGGAGGAGGAGTTGGAAGGCTTCCCGGACTCGGACGGGGAAGGGGAGATGGACTCTGAGGAGGAGGAGTACTTCGAGACCAGGAACCGCAACAGGTGGAGAGAAGTGTTCGAGACATCGGAAGATGAAGGAAGTTCATTCCGGGGTTTTGCCTCCTCACCGCCCGTAGAGGAGGGGGCGGGAGGGGGTGAAGGGGGCCCTGGAGGGGAGGTGGATGTCAGGGAACTGCCATCGGACGGAAGGGAGGTGAAAGGGCTCACACAGGTTGAGAGAGACTCAGCAGCTGAAGAGGGAACCAGTAGGGGGAGAGGAGCTGAGCGGAGGGAAAGTGAGCTGGAGGGATGGCTCAGAGACACTTCCAGCGAAAACAGTGGGGAGGTTTCAGGACCTCCTGTAGGGACACCCACTCCTCGCCGGAAACTGACACGCAGAGAGTCCAGAAGACGTGTTTCCGTTAAGGAGCTTTTATGTTGGAAGCGATTCCGAAAGCAACCACTGTCGGAATCTGCTAGTGACTAGAGGAGCCATGTCTGAGGGGCTCCGTCACAGACAGAGGTTTGTGGACTTGAACAAACTCTGAGGGGATACGATTTTACGCACAAGCAGCTCA